GATAATTCCGAGTACCTGCGAATTGTCCTTTCGCTTCTCGCGACACACTCCTGTTATCCGCGTTATCTCGCTAATGTCCCGAGATTAACGGATCATCACGCGAGAGACTTTCTCTCGCTCTCGTCTTCTGCGAAAAAAGGTGAGGAGCTCGCACGTACGACCGTAGTTTCCCCGAAATCGATCGGCGATTTCCGAGAAATGACTTCATTCAGGGATTCCGTCGCGGTCATGCTTTTACTTCGCTCGATCGTGTGCCGCTCGCGAGATAAGCGGAGAACGCCGACACCCACGCTCGTCATGTGCGCACGTGCGAATTTCCACCCCCGGTGAGGACGCGCGTAAAAGCCCGAATCGTCAGCTATTCACGCGCCGATCGATAGTTCGTACGCTTGATTTTCCTGCTGACTTTACCGATGATTAACAACCCGCACGAACTATGTAAGGTTTACTCGGACATTCTTACAGGAACACAATCAACGATAACGTGTTTCACACGTTGAGAAACACATTTAGTTGACTCAAACAAAATTCTTGTTTGAATGTGGGCAAACGAATGTTTGGTCGTGTGGACCAAAATTTGGTTCCCTGAACCAAACCTTTCTCATTTTCGTTTCAGAGAACCAAACTTTTTCTCACAAGCGATAAGAATTTTGTTTGAGTCTACCAAATGGGTTTCTCAATGCAGACTTTTCGATTATGAAATATTTCGGTGTTCTGGATGTATCTGTCAGAGTAGAATGAGCCTTTCTGTTGAAATAGACTCGTATCTAGCCGCTCTTTTATTACGTACTTTCTACTTTCTACTCTTTTTACTTTCCTTCCTGATAAAAATGTGACACCGGAATATATCCAGGCGAGTCAGAAAAGTGGAACGTGATTCTTTCTACGAGCAAAGGCTCGAATTAACTCTTTCCAACCTAGATTTCATTTCGAGTTACATTTATCGCGCACGCGTTCCGCGCGCAAAACGCTATTTCTAAAAACTTATTTCTTGGATTCTCTCTCTCGCTTCGTGTGATCAATAAGAGGAGTACACGGCGACGAAGTGTCGCCGATAAGCGATGGAACCTGACGAAAGCCACGACTGCGACATATAGCTCGTTATCACCGGAAGAAAGACTAAGTGGAACGCTAACGAGAAAATCGAAGGCGTGAGGTTACGCGATTGCACTAATCAGGGGTCAAAGGTCGATGCGGATGTATAATTTCGTTGCGCTGAGGACACCCACGTTAGACCGATATAGAGGTGGTGTGTAGCCATGCGATTTTCCTACTTCAGTCTCATCAACGTTTGTTTCCTAACCTCGTAAATCACTGGTTCCAGCTATAGGTTTAAAATTTCGGGAAACAACGATTTTTCCCCGATTTTTCCACGGACTTTTCTTGGTTTCTTACCTTTTTCACGGAAGAAAGTAAATGCGGCAGGTTTTAACCGAACACACGTGAATTTTTCTAAACAAATTTTTGCACTTTTGGGCGTGGAAACTGAAGAAATATGTGGAAAAAATGGAAAGAAAATGGTCTTTTCCAAAATATTAAAACTGTAGTTCCAACACTCTTGCATCATCAGAATGCGCTGTTAACGCCTTTATAGGTACGCGGAATAACAATTTTCTTCCCTTCATCGTTCAAATCTGGGGGGTAAATTTCCTTATTCTCGAAGAATGCGTAATATGTAAAATAACTTTCCAGCGTGTTGTATCACGAAGAATCGATTTATATAATATACGTTGCATAATCGTACATTATAAAATAATAATATTGATAAAATATACAACAACAACAATAATAATAATATAATTAATATTAAAATAATAACGCATATATATTTACTCACCACAACTGAAGCATGATTTCCTTAATATTTCATTTCCTCCGATTCTCTCGGAGATTACTCGCGATGCGTACACCTGCATATACGAAGCCGCATGAAATTGCAACATTGCCCGAACGCTCCCTTTCGGTCGCGACTCCGGTATGCCTTGTTGATGGAAAAAAAATGAAAGAAGAATACCTCGTCTCGAAGTAAATGCAGCGCGTTGCGTGTAACATAATACGAAGCCCCGCGCCGCCGTCGAAAGCGAGCGGATAAATCATGGCGGAGGAAGGTCGCTCGCTCGTCGCTCGCTCGTCGGGACTCGATTACGCCTTGCAATTAAACTTCGAAGCGACGCTTCGGTACGGCCGAACTCAACGGCGAAGGGCCGACGAGAAGAGCGGGAGGGGAGTGATACGCAGAGGAAATTCGATCGCCTCCGCCAGTGTGTAAACGCGAATATCGCGCTGGCGATGACGCGCCGATGAAAACAACGGTGGCAGACGCGCGCACCTCGAGAAATCTCGCGCTCGGCGGGAATCGAGATATCGAATCTCGCGACATGCCGGAAGTTGGCGAAACTTCTGCCCTTTCCCTCGCGGGGAGAGCGACGGGACTCTGTCGAGCGGTCAGAACGGCGATTCTCGTCTTTGTCACAAGACTGAGCTGTTAAATTTGCATGTGCAGGAACGAAGCTCGCGCGACTTCACGCCATACGCAGATCTGTTCGTCGCGACATTTCAGCGCTTTCTAACCTTAGCGGCGCGTATATACGTTGAGTGGAAAGGGGCCACAAGTGTTGAAACAAAGTGTAGAAAGTGCATCTGGAACAGACCCTGCATTTGACGCTATTCATTCGTCCTAACGTTCTTGAATTTCGCATCAACGTCCAAGAGAAATTCATCAGCATTCATCTCGCGTTCGTACGCGAAAAAAATCGATAGAATCAATAGAATTTCCAATAGCATGCCTATTAGGATAAAGTTTCTTGATTTAATAGCGATATCAATGAAACTAATACTTCTCCATATAGCCAAAATATCTGAAATACATCACAAGGATATTTCTAAAGATATCGTGATAATTTTTTGGGATATTCCTATGATATATTTTGGACTGCTGTATGGGTTAATTATTGAAGTAACCCGAGTCGAAATTTTACTCCTAGTTTAAGTCTAATTTAATTCACATTGAGTGTTCAAAGGCCTTTTATTATGCTCATTTGGCGCTACAAATAAGGAAGTTATTGTCGTTTTCTCCACTTGAAGACTTATCGTAGAATTTAAAATTTCGACTCGAGAAAACTTAACATAATAATTTTAATGATATTTGCCAATGAATCAAGAAAATTTACTTCAATTACGCTATTGTTGGAGATTTTGTCGATTCAACAGTATTTTTTCCGTGTATATACTCAGACAACACGAAAATCGGATCATAAGGTGTCTTGTAGAAACGTCTCTTATGACTCGATTTCAGACGTTGTGTTGTCTGAGTATGTACACCGTATCTCAAAATAGTTTAAACACTTTTTTTATGCAGTTCCAATGAAAGAACACATTATCGCCTACGTTCCGAAGTGCGTCAAGAAAGAAATGTTCAAACCGTGTACTTCGCTACTGTTCGTTGCGTCAGGGCATGAAGTCGGCTGCTCGCGCGAGATCGAAGCTCACAGCGACGACTTTCGATTCGGCGCGCACTTCGGCTCGTTTCGTCCAGAGGCACGCCAAACGAAATGGCGGATCGTTCCCTTCGTTCGTTCAGTGTCTACCCAGCTTTAGGCGACCAGTCGGCGCACGAAATTCCGAGAAGGCCGGCCCGACTGTATTGGCGCAAAGAGAAGAATTCTGCGAGCGCGAGGGAGCGCGGTACGGGCGAAACGATGGACGCTCTCGAGATGCGCGGAAGCAGCTTTCGGATCCAAGTGAGATTTCGACGATTCTATCGGGACAGTGCGATTAGTTACGCGTCGTAAATCGTCCGCGTGCGACGTCCTCCAAACGCACTCGAATATCTTCCTCCTGCGTTTGAGGGAAATCAATATCCCAGAGATATCAAAAACCGGTCCTAACCTTCGTCATTCACAGGGAGATACGTGGGAATTTCGACGGCGGAGAAACTGTCACGTTAATTTATTCAAAATCGATGGTATCTTTATAGCACCGTTATATTCCACGCGATTACCTAGAAATATCTCGTTTCGAGCAAAAATGGGCGTCACACCATTACCTAGCAAACCAGTTCCAAGTTACGATAAAAGCGTAAGTGTCACCTCTCGCGCGTGAGAGAAGTATTCCATATGCAAAAATATGTACAAGCGATCGCGCGCGATCACTTCTTTCTCCTCGCAAAGTTGCGCGTCCTCTTCGAGGGCGAGAGAGTAGTGCGCGAAGTGAAATTCCGCGGTTTTCCCCCAAAGATCAATATTGCCCGATTATAATCGTCACTCGAAATCCGGAGATCAATTTCTCACCGAGCAACGGAACAAATTAGGATAGCCGGGCGCTACGTGGGAATGCTCCTATTCATTCACCCCCCGTTCGCGGCGACACGCTCTCTCGCTGCGCTCGCTCGTCTCTTGCGCTGCGCGAAGCGGCGGCGGCGAGTCTTGTGGAGACAGGCGGGAGTAGCCGCTGGATATATACATGCACACGCAATATCATAGCGGCGAACAGTCGACACGCGGCACTCGTACGAAGCGGGTCGTGCTCTCCTCCGGATCTTGCGAACGAGAGAAAGGAACGGAGAAGAAAAAGAAGTGACTCGTGAGAGAAGTGAACGCTACACCATCGTCATTCCCCCGCGACACATCCGATTGATAATCGCGCGTCTTCTACGATGAGCTTCACGGCGTTCGCGTCGTCTTCGGCCAGCAACGGGAAGCCACGCAATCATCGGACAACTTGCCCGCGCGGTACTCCTCTCAGGATGCCAAACCGATCGGCCCGCTGCTGATTCGCTCTGGATCGCGCCAGCAAAACAAGGCTCTCTGCGTGACTTCGGGGTTTCGAGGCATTCCGTAAGAGCACACGCCGTCGGATATTATCCGGCGTGGAATTTGCCCGCGATACATATCGATCGACCAGTGTAATCGGGACGTAGACTCTCGCGGCAAGGACGAGAACACGAGTGCACCGAGCAGTAGCCGGTCCGCCCGACCGGCCGCGAAATCGTGCACCTGGCTATGGGCAAGCTCCCAATAATCCCTGGACGTGATACTCGTGACAACGCAAGCGGCGAGGAGGCGACGACAGCGGTGATCGTCGGTGGTGCCGTGTCCAGCGGATCACGTGACAGCGCTGATCCGCGCCGATGCGACGATACGTCGAGAAGATGCGCGGGCCGGAGATCGGCGGGAGATGGTGCGACCGGCCTGAGCGATCCAGCGCGCCGGGATCCCGGTGTGACGCGACCACGCAGGAATACCACCTGGCACGGCGATCGAGGCGAGAGCACCGCGGCCGAGGTGGCAGGACCCAACGGCGGCAATGTCGACGCGTCGAGCGTGCTCGGGATCGCCGGCCGCACTTGTTGCGCGGCCGACTCCCTTCAGGCGCGACGGCCTCGCGATCGCCTAATCCGCGCCGGTCCTAATTCCATCGAACGCCGAAGTCGGCGGAGCGGCAGCTCTATCGGCGATCAGATGCTCCATAGTACGGTGGATAGTATTGCGATCGTCGATGCAGAACGGTTCTCCGTGGCGCTCGCTAGTACCGTGAACGTTCCCGGGTGCGACGTCTCGCTCGAAGGTACCGCGAGTACCAGATCGCCGATAAGCGTCTTCGAGAGCCGAGGGCCGACCGGCGGCGGCGTTAACACGGAACGCGTCGGCGATAGTAGCATCGGCGAATTTTCGGCGCATCGGAGCGGACCGGTCGCCCGGCTGATCGGTATCGCCGATTCTTCGTTCGCGAAACGAAACGGTTCCGCCAAAGAGGCGACCGACGGCACGACGGCCTCATCGCGTCTCGTCCCCGACGAGTCGCGGCCGAGGCGGACCAGGACGTGTTGGGGATTGCCGGCCGCGAGGATCGCTTTCGTCTTACGAACTCTTCTGCTGGGGCTGCTCGCGAAGAGTTTGCTCTGCGACGCGGTACTGGGCGCTCCGTCGTCGACCTCGCTGACCGGCTTCGAGGACGACACAGAGAAGGGGCTGGTGATGCCGGGGAACGATCTCCGCGAAAGCGAACTCGAGATCATCCGCAGGAGCATCGTGCAAGGTCTCGGGCTCCAGAGGATACCTGATGCTTCGAAGGTGAGTCTTGTTTTTTCTTCATTGTTATTCTCTCTTGCGATGGTTGTGTGTGACGACGAGTGGGAGAGCGAGTGTGACGAAAACGTACGACGTTTTACAAGAGGAATACGACATTACTCGAGAGATACGATATCGGTACGAAAATAATATCAATATACAGGGTGTTAAGATGTGGAGGTGCTGAGTAGAATCAATGGAGAAGAGTATCGTGAAATAAGAGAATGGTTTGAAGAATTAAGTAGTGATATAAGGGCGATATATGATGAAGCAGGATAATGAGCTAGATAACCCTTTGCACTCGAGGGCTCCGGAACGGAGCCATTTTAAATTTGTCTTCAAACTCAAATAGCAAGAGCGGAATATCTTATACACAATTGTTTTTACAATTTGTCTTTGTCCTTATGTTATGAACTGAAAGTTATTTGCATTGTCTCCATAGCGGAGCCCTCGAGTTTGAAGACAAATTTTAAATGGCTCCGCTCCGGAGCCCTCGAGTGCAAACGGTTAAAAGAAATTATATTGCGGAAGTTATGAAAAGAGAGAAAGAAAAGGAGTTGAAGAAAAGAAAAGACATAAAGCTAGTAATATAGAAAAGAAAAATAAGACGAGAAGTGAAGAGATGTGAGATGAAATAATAAATTGTTTGGGGTTAGTACAAAAATTAAATAGGAAATAAATCAGAGTAAACAAGATTTTAATGATTAGGTATAAAAAGCTGCGATGGATAGGATAAAAATAATGAAAGAAGCATTATTTGTGCGGTGATATTTATGTAATTTAATTTTTTAATTAATTAAACATTTTAAGGTTGGATAGATACGTTGGATAGAACTAATTACACAGTTTTAAGGTTGAATAGATACTTGTGGTTAAGGTAAAAATTGTAAACCAAGTCCTTTCTTCACATCAATGTAAAGCAAAATAAATAAAGTAGAATCAATGGTTTAAATACACAGAAAAAGAAAGTGTTAGATTCAAGTAAATAATTTATTTCAATACTTCTTAGTACATTTTTACTCGGATCAAGTAATATTTACTTGATCCAAGTAAAATATTCTCAAAGTAAATTATCCAAGTAAAATATTTATTTGATCCAAGTAAAATTTAATTTAAGTAAAAATTTGCTAAGGAGTATTGGAATAAATTATTTACTTGAATCTAGTACTTTCTTCTGTGTAACGTCGACACTTAAAAATCGCAAAAAAAAAACGATATTAACAAGCTTCTCATTCGGAAAAAAATCGTCTGCGGATTAATTGGAGAATCTACAATTGAAAGCTAATAAAGAGGAAAATCCCGGCAGGAACACCCAGTATAGTAAGTGGCGCTGAATGGTACCATCGCTTGGATTAAATGTGAAATCGGTTTCTGAAAAAAGTAAGACCTCGTTGTTTATATCAACGTGATCCGTGCTTGAAAAAAAAGACTTCTCGATAAATCCTAAATTATTGCAGCGACGATAAGAGACAAACGCGGACGCGCGACAACTATGACGATGAAGTCGTGCTCATTCGCCTTCGAGTTCGTTGATCGAAGCGTTGTCGAGATTACTCGAGTGGAAAGCGACACAGTGAGACTCGGACGCTCTTTCCGCGCGGAGAAACAGAAAAATTTGGTCAACGCTCTTATCTCGAGTTTCACTCTTCTATCGCAATCGGATCTATGAAACTAGGATCGTGATCGGCCTTAAATTTAGAGTTCGGCGTAAGCCTGTTATTCGTAGGATGATGTCGAAGTAAAATTTAAATTCTTATATTTCGAAATTTTCTTCTGTCTTTCGAGATGAGCGTGTGTAATCTTACCGCAAATTAATATCTTCCCACGATCGAATTCTTTTAACGTACAAAGAAAAACTCAGTTCCTGCAACTGAAAAGGGACCAGATGAAAACTCGATGGTGAGAAGTGATGTCTCTGTTACTCCGGCTGAGAACACTCGTGTGAACATATATAGTTGCATTAAAACTCAGTTGAGACAACCGAGAGTAACTCAGAGAGTGACTCAGCAGAAACCTCTTACACGAGAAAAAAATAAATCATGCAACAGAACAGAGACTGAATGAAAATTCGGCGATAAGAAATGGAAACTCAACGACAAAAAGTGATATCTTTATTACCGCGTTTAAGAACATTCGTGTGAACATCTAACTGCGTTAAACTCGATTGAGATTGAACTGAAAAACTGAAAAAAAAACAATTGACTGAGTAGAAATCTTTCTGTTCCTACAATCGAATTTTCGTCTGATTCTCAGGCAACGGAAAATTCAATTACGCTAACTTAATTAACCAATCATGATAAAAAAAATGTTTGCTTTTTTCGTCTTGATTGGTCAATTAAATGCTACTCTACCCGTCGAGTGGGATTTTGGAACGCAGCCCTGCAGAAATCTGTTCCTACAATCGAGTTTTCGTCTGGTTCCCAGGCAACGGAAAATTTAGTAACACCAACGGAATTGTCTTGTTGATGTGAAATAAGAAAAATCAGGCGTATCATTCGAGTCTGCACATACTTGAAGATTATTGAAACTTTGACATAAACTTTCGGAGTTAGAAAATGGAATTTTCGTTTCCACATTTCTTGTTTGCAAGATTCGTGTGTAGACACCGGAACGTATGTAAGGCGCATATAGTGTGTATAGCGAGTATATACAAATCAAGTGACATCAACAGGTCGAGTAAAGCCAGATTTAGCGATTCACTCGCTCTCCTTCTTTAGATCATAATCGTACTTATGACATAGGCTGAAGCTTCACTTGATCGCTCTCGGACGGTTACGTTGGTATAATCGTCCGAAAATAGATCCTACGAATTATAGATTCCGCGCGTTCTTGCTCTAGACTCTTCAAGGGTACGTTATTACGCCATCCCCTCGCGGCATTTGCACAAACGCGAATAATGCATGGCGCTCATTGATTCGTACGGCACGCGGGTGTATCTCTCTCACTTTCTCTGTGTGTGTGCATTCCGGTATTTATTATTCGCCGTTCGCGTAAGTAAATCGCACATACATCGCGTACCGATCACGAGACGCGCGCAAGCATGCACGCGAGCGGGCGCGCGACGGCTGGACGACGGACCTTCGCGAGGCCGAGGTTCGTTGACATCGGACGGTCGGGCTGAAAAAGGTTTAGCCTTTGCACGTAGGCCACTCGTTCGCCGCACGTAACACACAGGCCGGGCTGAAAAAGCCACGACAATGCCGTCCCCGGCAGGAGAGGCACGTGACACGCCGCGCGGTCGTCCAGATCATTAGTGTCGTAAATACCCTCGCACGAAACGCGCGCCGGCAGGCCGAGCTTCTTTAATCCCTTCGACCCTGCCGCCGACCCGCGTCGCTCTAACGATTTTTCCCTCTGACGCGCCTTCGTTTTCGTCTTATTCGTCTCGTTTTAATCGCGTTTCGTTCGCAGCGCGCTTATTAGCGAAGAGGAAAGCGGCTACGTGTTTTCGCGAACGACGGGAGTGACGGCCCCGCGGGAAGAAGACGAAGGTCCATATTCTGATCTCACTTTTATTGACGAAAATGCTTTAAATATGGCCTCTCGATCAAGCAGGTGGCTTCTGAGCCACTTTTAGAGACACTTTTATCGATAAAAATGAATTCAGAATATGAACCGGAGTCTTGCTTGCGCGCTCTTTTCGACGTTGCCGCGTCTAAGATCTGTTATACAATAGATCGCAGCTGGATATCGCAGTCGATGAAATAATTTATGAATGATTGAGAAAATTTATTTTTCGGACGAGTTTCTCTCAGGACTATCTGTTGCGACATCCGACAGCGGTATCCCGAGTCGAAATTTTAGTTCTACATTAAATTTTTTTAAGTCTTCTCCTTTGGTGTTATAAATGGAGAGTTATTTCCATTTTCTCCGCTTAACCCTTTGCACTCGGATGTCCCCTCTCAGGGGACATCAGAGTTTATTAGTGATTACAGAGGATGAGCTTATGCCGCGGCCATTTTTTGAAAACTGCATGTTTCTTTGAAATGGCACAAGAAAGCAAATCAAAATATATACTGAGATATATGGAAAAAATGTCAGCCGGCATTACGTCGAAGCGGAACGTTTGTAGTGCATTCACAGCGGCTAAACAGCAAGCTGCACATTTTAAATGTTGGAGGAAGAAAACGGGATTGCACTGTGCTCTGCTCACACAGAGAAATACAGGGTGGAAGACGACAAACAAATTACTTTTGTTCAACGTGCACCAACGAACCCGCGATGCACATCGGTGGCTGTTTTACACATATTAGAAAATTATAAAACATAAAATTTTGTATTTTTTATCAAAAATGTGTTCCTTAATACCTAACGATTCATATAAATCAAGCGGCATGAGAATAAATTACTTGATTCCTAAGATAAACTATTTAATATGACACGATTCCCGTCCGCGCGCCTTCCTAAGCAGATGCCGCCGAGTTGCTGGTAAATGGCTCTCGAGATGGCTCCGAATGCAAAGGGTTAATATAGAACTAAATAGACTTAACCCTTCGTTTACATTATGGGTGACATTCAGATCGACCCGGTGAGTTGTGTGAAGAGCTACAGCAAAAAGAAGTGTGCCGAGAATTCGATTTTTTTTTCAGTAATTTAAAACTTGATTCCCTATGAATGCATAATTAAACATTAAGGTAGAAGAGTTACATTGTATTCTGGAATTTTATAAACCACTTTTCTTTTACAGTTTCTCAAATACAAATGTTAGGAAATCGCACAGTCTATATGATCCTGTTTGCGAGCGACTTTTCAGAAGTGTGTGCGGTTGAAGAGTTAATGTAGGATCAAAACTTTGATTCGGAATACGACGTATTGTGTAACAGGTCTAATCTCGAGCGTTTCGTCAGCGCGCGCGCGTTGGCAGAAATTCTCCCGCTTTCGGGAACTTCGCACGGTGCCGCGACGGTATCCGCGGAAACGATCGCGCTGTTTGCCTAGACGCGACTAATCGGTGCCTTTGTCACAGTGCCGACCCGGGTAAATACAGTCTTACGAAGGCGAAT